GGGTGCATCTTTCCCGTTTTCTGCAGCTGACGAACGGGTTCAAGCTGAATGGTGTCCCCGATGATGCGATCCGCCTTCACCTCTTCCCCCATTCTCTGGCGGGGAATGCTAAGAGGTGGTTGGAGACCCAGCCCCCATTGTCCATCACCTCTTGGGACGATCTGGCGGACAAGTTCGTGCACAGGTATTATCCGGCATCGAAGACTACAGAGATTCAGCGGGAGATCACTCACTTCCGCCAGGAGCCAGATGAGTCACTTCGTGATGCTTGGGAGAGGTACATGGGCTATTTCTGGCAGTGCCCCCATCATGGCTTCAGTGATGCATTCACAGTAGGGAACTTCTACAGTGCCCTTTCGCCAGATAGCCAGAGGGTGATTGAGTCTCTATGCCCAGGAGGGGATATTCTTACCAAGACTCCACCCGAGCTGAACCAGATGATCAGTACTTTGGCTGCCAGAGATCATTCTTGGGGACAGGGTAGCCGAGGCAGACAGTCCCGGGACCGTGGTGTGCACGCCATGGAGACCAGATCCGGGCTCGAGCAGCAGGTAGCTGAGCTAGTGCAGACATTGAAGCAGCCCAACAGTCTTATTCCGGGCAGAGGTTTGGCTACACCTCCAGTTGCTCAATGTCAGTGGTGTGAGAGCTCCAATCACCTAGTGGAGGACTGCCAGGCTATGAGGGAGTCTACCACACCCCAGGAGCAGTTGGCCTTCATTGCCAATGCGCGGCGCCTCGATCCATACAGTACTACATATAATGAGGGGTGGCGCCAGCATCCCAACTTCGCCTGGAGTAGCAACACCATTAAACCACCTGGTTTCCCAGCACCAGCAGGTGGTTTTCCGCAGAGGCAGCCCTTCCAGGCTCGCCAGGGCCCAGACCTACAGCAGCAGCCCTACCAGCCTAGGCAAGGGCAGCCATTCCAGCAGCCCCAGCGCCAGTTCGCCGAGCCAGCAGCAGCTCCGGCCCCAGATGACAGGATGACGAAGCTGGAAAACATTCTAGCTTCATTCATGACTAGTACCCAGGCTGCTATCACATCACTGGAGGCAGGTCAGCGGAACCAGGGCGCCATTTTGCAGGATCTGCAGACCCAGGTGGGCATCTTGGCCCGCCAGAACACCACCAGGGCACTGGGGACTTTGCCTGCCACCACTGTTCTGAATCCTCGAGATCCCCACCAGCATCAGCAGCTGGATGCCATTTTTACCAGGAGCGGTATGGTCATATCTGCTGATCCTGTCCCGGCCAGACAGGAGGAGTCACTGCCTGCTTCAACACCTCCAGCCGATGATGCAGAAGTGCGGGTGGAGAAGGAAGCCCCTGCTCCTAAGCCACAACCAGTGGTTAAGGAGCATGTACCCCAGCTTCCCTTCCCCACTCGCCTACACAAAGACAAGCTGGAGACTGAGTTTGCCAAGTTCATGGCAAAGTTGAAGCAGCTCAACATCAGCATACCGTTCATGGAGGCACTGTCGAAGATGCCCAAGTACGCAAAGTTCATGAAAGATCTCTGCACCAACAAGAAGAAACTTGGGGATCTCTCGACAGTGTTGCTGAGCGAGGAGTGTTCTGCTATCCTGCAGAACAAGCTGCCCGAGAAGCGCAAGGATCCAGGGAGTTTTACTATCCCTCTTACTATTGGCAGCATGCATGTAGGAAAGTCCTTGGCGGACCTAGGCGCTAGCATTAACGTCATGCCATATAAGTTGTATAAAATGCTAGACCTAGGTGAACTTAGCCCTACTAGGATGAGCGTTCAATTAGCTGATCGTTCTATTGTGCATCCTAGGGGAATCATAGAGGATCTGCTTGTTAATGTTGGTGCATTCACATATCCTGTTGATTTTGTTATTCTGGATGTAAATGAGGATGTGGATGTGCCTTTGATTCTAGGTAGGCCATTTCTTGCCACCGCCAAGGCACTTATTGATGTGCATGATGGTAAATTGATCTTGCGTGCTGGGAATGAACAGGCTACTTTTTCTGTGACTGAGTTTGATCACTGTGCTATGATTGATGTCACGCCTGTGCATGCTATTTCTGATCAGGTACACGAGCCTGTCGTGTATCCTTCTGCACCTCCTATTTTGCAGGACCCTCCTATCATTCCTTCGCCGCCACTCCATCCAGCCACGCCTCCGAACAAAAAGCTTAAGGAGGAGTGGCGGCCGAAGCAGCAGGTTGCTAAGCCTGCACGAAAGAAGAGTGGAGACCACTATGAGCTGGTCCCACCTCCTGCACCACGACCACCCTGGCCGTCTGGGTACTCGCTCTCCTGCATCTTGCCAGATGGGCAGGTCGAGCTGACTGATGATGGTGGTCGCATCCGTTGGGTGCATGGCCACAACCTCAAGCTGTACCTCAAGAGCGACGTGGATCCGCTCTTGGGGGCACCTGTTCCTGCACCGCCTTGAGTATCCACCATGGGCGTCCAGCTAAAAGACGATAAAGAAGCGCTTGTGGGGAGGCAACCCCACCACGGTTTGATTTTCTTTCTTGTGTTTTGAGTCGGATTGTGACCCGGTTTGGGTTTGGTTTGTTTTCTTTTGGTTTGGATGATATTTTATTGGGCTGACCATTGAACCTAACATATTGTGTTTGAGCTCTTTTGTTCCCCTGTGGCTGTGCTTGCCCCGACTGGCCCGTTTCCAGTCTCCTGCAGTCCGTGCATACCGGTAACATCGTTCCCTCTCCCTTCCCTCTTCTCCATTGAGGGCAATGTCGATCTTAAGTGTGGGGGGGTGGTTATCTTCAACTGCATTAGATCTGTTTGTGTGCTTGGAGCCTAGTCCACTGTCCAAATTTTTAAATTTGAGGGCTCCAAGTACGTGTTTCCATGCAATTGCCTGCTCAGTATGCTTTGAATTGACAGTCTTTATAGTAATATGCAACCTAGGGAGGTAGTGTAGCACTATGGAGGATGTTGATGCATTTAAGAAGTCTCATTTCTTCTTCATATTGTGTTGGTTGATTGAGTGAATTAGTGATCTTAGGACCCTTGAATTGTGTGGTGTTGTGGATTGTCTGCCTGTCATGGACTCTTGTATCATGTTTTGAGTTTAACAGGTGCTCGAAAATGTGCTTCAAAATAACGTCTCCCGTGCGAATAGGGCGAAAGTGTGTAAGGGGAGACGGGAATTCGTTCCCAATTTCCACCTACTACCTCCAGCCCCCTTACATGGCCGGTAAGAGCAGGTTGGGACCCTTGAAAAGAAAAGAAAAGAAAAAAATATCAGAAAACAAGCAAAACAGAAAAAAAAGGGGGTTCCAACCATTTCAAAGAAAATAGAGCACCTTGAAAAATGTGAGTCCATGATCCTTTGTTTTTGAGAATCTCTTCATCCACGATTCATTTGTCCTCTGTTCACTATTTGCCATGATGCCGACTCGATAAGAAGCTTTGAGATGACTTGTGCGTCGGTTGACCTTGTAAGTTGCTAAATGATCTAGGAAGTCCTCTACCTACGATCTGGGTTGTTTGTTGCTATAGAGGTCTGGAGAGTTGCATTGGTTTGAGTTAGGTTTGCTTGGGGACAAGCAAACGGTTAAGTGTGGGGGAGTTTGATAACGATGTAATTGCACATGTTTGCGCCCCTAGTTCTTATCCGTTTGAGAGGCATAGTCGTGTGTTTTGGCCTATTTTACGCCGGGTTGTGCTATTTTGTCATGTTTCAGGTCCCAGGTGTCAAAGGGAAGGCTAAGCGCGAGTTTCGGGGCATTCGGATGTCATTTCGGTGAGCTGGAGCCAAAACACGGGCAGCCTAAGGCATTACACGGCCGTGTACTGCTGGCCGTGCTTTTTATGCCGAGAGCAAATTCAGTTTGGCCAATTCAGCTGCAAACACGGGCACTGAAGCACGGCCGTGTTCAGTCAAAGCACGGCCGTGTACATCGCGAAGCACGACCGTGTTTCCACCAGCTGCTGGCCGTGTAATTAAACACTGGCCGAAACACGGGCAGGCTCAGGCAAAGCACGGCCGTGCCCTCGACCGTGCTTTGGCCACTGATGCTTTTAAGCAGAGTTTCAGCCACAATTCAAGGGGATTCGAGTTTTTGAGAGAGAGATCAGTTCCTAGAGAGAGAAAGTGACGAGCAAGAGTTCCCAAGTGCCCTAGATTGATCTTTCAACACCATTGGAGGCCAGCTTGAGCTTGGAGAAGTGCCAATCAACGTCCAGAAGCAGGAATCCATCCTTCGCAGTATGAATTCCGTGTCTGATTCTGCTTTTGCTTTCTTCTCCATGGAGTAGTTCTCCCATTCACTGGGTATGGAGAACTCTAGATTTGTATGTTAGGTTTGATTGTATGAACCCAAGTACTGATTTTGTGATTGATTATATTCGATTGAGGTTTGAATGATTGAATGACTTGAATCCTGATCAAATTCCTGTTGTTTCTGCTATAACCTAGAATGAGAATATCTGCCTAGGTTAATAGAGTATCCTTGATTGAAGGTAGGGAGTTGGTGACTTTAGTCGAGGAGCCAACTCACTATTCTGTACCGGATTTACTCCGGTAGTGGAGGTTTTGTTCTTAGGGCCTCAATCTGTCTACTCCGGTGGAGGTTAGTCGCCCGCTAGAGAGTCAGATTGAGAGGGTCTGAAGACCTTTAGTCGAGACTTCAGGCTGTTTAAGAACCTTCCGCAGTATAACTGTCATAGAAACTGAACTTGGTAATTACAATCCGGCTTAACTGCAGTCTAGGGGGAACCATATCCGTGTGACCTCTTTAACCTGAATACAACAGTTTACTTGCTTTGTTAGTTTGTTAGTTTAGACTTGCATTCCAGTTTCATTGCTAGATAACAAGAATTCACTGAGTAGTCATCACATCTAGGACCCGGGTTGATAATTAAACCTAAACCCGCTATACTACGCTTTAGGAAGTGGTTTCACTTGGCCAATTCCTGGAGTGACAGTAGAGTCGAGTCAGACACGCAACTTGGACAAAATAATATGGCATAACCTAAATATTATGATTATAAGCTTAGCGTTAAAGAATATAATTTCCAGATTAAGCAACATTGCTTGACTGGCGTTTGGTGAGAAGTAGATTATGTTGTATGGTACACAGCGTTGGCACATGATAGTTTACTCCATGTATTACTCAATGCCTCTACCTGCATCAATTTTGCATGTGCAGTGCACTTATGAAAATAACTTTTCAAACTGCTGCGGGAGATACAATAAACTGCATGCTTAAGCTAGGGGAATGACTGTTTAGAAATTTTGAGGTATAAGGCAATGCTCGGTAGCAAGCACCTTATGCTCTGTTTTGATGTCTCTTCTGTCTGGCAAGAGATTCGGACCTCTACCAGCTCCATGACATCAGTCCCAAAGCCTTTGAAATTTCTCCGGCCACATTACGGAACACTGAAAGCATATTATGAGACTATGGGTGATTCAGATTTGAAGGTACCACTTGTTGTTCTTGGTAGGGCACACCTCAATATTTGTGCGTGACTCAAGCTTAAGCGGGTCACTATGTTTCTTGCTGCAGAAATACTTGGCTGATATCCTCTCTGTCTTGGCCCTGACCATGTCCGCTGAGGGTGAACGGGTATGACTTAGATATAACTCTCCCTTTCTCTATTGGTTTAGGCTATATCTTCTTAACCCCCTTCTCCTCTGCTTTTTTATTTTAGTACTTTGCAAATGAAAGTAATGATTACTTATCTATGTGCTTATCCAGGAGAGCTTGAAGTATAGATTGCTGGGTTCCGAGGGTGATATTGGTTCATGGGGCCATGAATATGTCAGGTGAGCTTCAGCTAAATGTCAATTGGTACTTTGACCCACTGTGTAGATTGCTTTCTAATTAAGATAGGTAGAGTGAGCTTCATGAAAACCTCATTTGTTTATAATCAGGAATTTGGCGGGAGAAATTGCACAAGAATATGCAAAGCGACAGGTTCGTGCGTACTCTTATTTCTCGACGAAAATATTGATTTCATGTTCTGTGCTGTATGAAGTTATTTTTTAATTTTTCTCCATAGGAGTTCTGATTCTCACATCTAATTATGAATGCTTGTGCTGCAGAGTGAAGAAGCTGGAATTGATGATCTGATGGAGCTTGTACAGCAAATTGTTGCCTTCCATATGAAAATATTATATGAAGTTACCTTGTGGTCCAGTCATTGTGGAAGCTACTATTAACATGTGATGCATTCGCATAATTAGCTATTAGAACCGCTTAAAAGCAGAGGGCGAAAATTTTGTTCTCGTGACATCTGATGTGATTCAATTATTTTGTTGCTCAACTATATTGCAGCACAATGCTGAACCTGAAGCAGTGGACCTTTTGATGGAGGTATTTCTGGACAATATACGTTATATGCTGGCATATTATATTTTCTAATTGTGCAAGAGAAAAACATTGTGGAGGCTGAAATGTTATATGTGATTGTGTAGGTGGAAGACCTCGATCTTTTGATTGAGCATGCGGACAATACTAACTTTAAGAGAACCTGTCTCTACCTCACCAGTGCTGCAAAGTAAGAGAACACAACTTTTGTCAGTGATTAGAATAAAGAATTTGCTGTATAGGATTGGTAGTATTCGAATCTTGGCTGCTAAGGAAAGTTAGTAGGTTCATTTCTTTGTAATTTTAACTGCAATTTATCCATTTTAGACCCGGTTCACTCTTGATTTTACTGAGGGTTATTATTATTTTTCTTGGTTGCAAACCATGGTTATGCTTTTTGTGTGTGATTATCTGAAATCGTGTTACAGTCAGGATGTATCCCTCTATGTCTCTGATCGAATTTCTTGATGAACTATGTTGCAGATACCTTCCCGGTCCTGATGATTTGTTAGTCTTGGATATTGCATATATGATAGACATAAAATTTGAGGAGTATGCAAACGCACTTCAAATTGCCTTGTACCTTGACAACCTACAGGTAAGCACCGAATTTGGTGTCTATGTGACTGCTTTTGTTTTCCAGTCTACATCTTGTTCTTTTAATCTATGAAGTAGCTGGTAATTGTTCTCCCCGTTTTTGTTATGGTGCCTTTGACTGACTTGATGTTTATTTTCGTTATTGTATATGTTGCACTGCTGTCCTTTCTAACAATTCAATGTTGAATGCAGTATGTGAAGCAGGTTTTCACTGCCTGTGATGATGTCCTACGGAAGAAGCAATTTTGTTATATCCTGGGTCGGCAGGTGTTTGCTAAATCTACCGGTTCTATTCCTTTGAGTTGAATTTTTTTCCTTGTATCTAATTGCTGGTTCATCTGTGCAGGGCATAACTTTTGAGCTGGATGAAGAGATGTGTGCTGATGATGAGGAAAGATATGCAATGCAAGACATCATTAACAATGCAAAGTTGAGTGAAGGTTATCTTGCACTTGCACGTGATATTGAAGTCATGGAGGCGAAATCTACTGAAGATATATATAAGGTTTGAAGTGCAACTGCATTTTCTTATTGAATGTATAATGTACATGTTCATGTAGATCTAGTGATTTATTTATTTTCCCTTGATTCATTCTAGTTGTCCCTTAGAGTTCGCTGATAAGTCAACTTTAGTTGCATTGGTTTGCCCCCTTCTTGAGATGCGAGCTTGATTTTTTAGGCATACTTACTTGATGGCCGGGCTAGTGCTGGAGCTAGTGTTGATTCTGCACGACAAAATTTGGCTGCTACATTTGTCAATGCATTTGTAAACGCAGGCTTTGGTCAGGTAAATTTCATTGCAACCCATCTTGTGATCTATGTTAATAAGAAAGGGGCTCAATGTTTTTATTTTGGTTCAGGACAAGTTGATGACTGTTCCATCTGACGCCGCAACTGGGGGTTCCTCTGGAAATGGGCTTTTCAAGAATAAAGAGCATGGGAAGGCTAGTGGTGCAGCAAGTCTGGTATGCACAACCCTTTTTCCTTGGCTTTAAGTGAATTAAGTTCCCCTGATTCTAAAGGTCGAAATGTTGTTTGTTGCACAGGGCATGATTTTGTTGTGGGATGTTGATTCTAGTCTTGCTCAAATCGACAAGTATTTCCATAGCAATGATAACTATGTGATTGCTGGTGCTCTATTGGGAGTTGGAATCGTCAACTGTAGCGTGAAAAATGATTGTGATCCCGTGAGTGTTGTCATTTCCCTCTTCCCAAGGTGTATCTTGTGTTTCTGTCTTTGGAGCTTATGCTGTGTTCATTTTGCAGGCTTTGGCTCTTTTGGCTGATTATGTAGATAAGGAAGATCCTTTTATTCGAATCGGTGCCATTATGGGCTTGGGAGTTGCATATGCTGGAGCTCAAAATGAGCAGGTTATATGTTTTGCTTTTATTTTGATTGTGCATATGCATTTATTCCTGTATGTTCCTATCAGGCGACTTAATGATCTCTACGTGATTGCAGATACGTGGGAAACTGATGCCCATACTTGGCGATTCCAAAACTCCACTCGACGTAGTAGCTTTCACTTCAATTTCCTTGGGGTTGATAGATGTTGGTTCCTGCAATGAAGAGGTTGCACAAGCTATCATTACGCAGCAGGCTCGAAGACCCCTGGTTCTGGAAGGCACATGAGTCCGAACGCTATGTTTGCTCTGATGGACAGAAGTGAGGCAGAGTTGCAGGATCCTCTTACAAAAATTTTGCCACTTGGTCTTGGTCTGTTATACCTTGGGAAGCAGGTACGTGAAATTTAAGACACTGGATGGGTGTAAAGTTCACTTGGTCATGTGTTATATTTGCTACAGGTGGCTAATTTTGGGTTTATTTAAGACAGCAGAGAGCCTTGTACACTTACTGATGTCTACTCACTTGCAGGAAAGTGTAGAAGCTACAGCTGAGGTCTCAAAGACATTTAACGAGAAGATCAGAAAGTACTGTGATATTACCCTACTTTCTTGTGCCTACGCTGGGTCAGGGAATGTTCTGAAGGTATGCTTTTGATGTCAATAAATTTGCAGTTTTCATTCAAGAAGCTAGAAGTGTTATTTTGGATCGTTTGTTTTGCTTTGCTCTACCTAGGAACATTGTTTCTTCATTTCTCCCTGGTTTAATTGGTGGCTCGTTTGTTTTGCTTTGCTCTACCTAGGAACATTGTTTCTTCATTTCTCCCTGGTTTAATTGGTGGCTTGTTTCTTGCGCTAGGTTCAAAACCTCCCTGGGAATTGTGCTCAGCATTTGGAGAAGGGTGAAAACTACCAGGGACCTGCGGTGCTTGGAATAGCAATGGTGTCTATGGCTGAGGAATTGGGACTTGACATGGCAATTCGAACTTTGGAGCATCTTTTGCAATATGGGGAACAGAACATCCGGCGATCAGTTCCTCTGGCTCTTGCCCTTCTATGCATATCGAATCCAAAGGTGAGTTGTTTCATAAGGTCTTAGGCTTTGTTTTCCACAAACGCATTGATCACTCTGCTTGTCATCTATCGTAGTGTTTCTGTAACTTCTTGGGTAAATTTGTATCAGGTCAATGTGATGGATACGCTAAGCAGACTTAGTCATGACACGGATTCAGAAGTTGTATCAGTAAGCCAGTGTTCTGCTAGACCAGAGTATTACTTCAACGGTTTTGCATAATTTCTAAAGGTAGCAATGTCTCCATGTCTTTTGCAGGCTGCAATTATTTCCCTTGGGCTGATAGGTGCCGGGACGAATAATGCACGAATTGCTGGCATGCTTCGCAATCTTTCGAGTTATTATTACAAAGATGCCACCCTTCTTTTCTGTCTAAAGGCCAAAGCTGCCAATTTCAGTTTTCCGAAGGGTTTAGACTTTAGACAGCATACCCTCTCTCCGCGCCCCCATCCCCCCACCCTCGACTAGAGCAAGAGAGTCGGGTACCCTGGCCATCTTCCTCCCATCCCGCAGTTTAGAGTGTTCGAGACTCTTCCTTCTGCGTCAGTCATTCTTTCCTCTCGCTTCTTCGGTTAGTATCTTATGTCGCTGGAAGAAGGAGTTCTGAGGAATTGCCCTCCTCTCATAGTAAGTCCCAGTTTCATTCCTCGTGCTTGTCTTTCTGCAGAATCTCGTTTTTGTTCTGCGTATTTGAAAATTTGAATGCTATGCACACATAGAAAAATGAACTGGCCATGTTTTCTTGATGCGCTGCCCGCAACCTTCAGATGTTGCATAGGCGCGTTCGCATATGGATTTTCCCATTGTCTTCTCTTCTTAGCTTTTTTAAATTATAAGGGAAGGTCAATATAATTTTGACTGTTGAAACTCTATAGTGGAAGGTGTATTGTTGTCGAGCTGAAAGGCTTCGAGTCCAGCTTCCCTGTTATGGCCTCTCTGTTACATGGTGAAAAGTTGGAATTTTTGTTTATAGCACTCATTCAATGGTAAGCGAGTATCATTGAATGAGAAAGCTTAAGCCAAATTCTTAGACCGGTAGCTGTGGAGATTGAGAGAAGAGTGTGACTTTCGAGCAAGTTGGTCAAATTTAAGTCATGGAAAAGCCTTAAAGCCAAGTTCTTAGACTGGGAGCTGGTGGAGCTTAATGTTGTTAGACCTCTTCAATTGTCTTACGTGAATGGAATTAAGGATTTTTCTGCACTGTAGATTTCGTTGAGTTTTCACTTTGCTTAGGGTTTATCCGGTATCATTGAGTCTGAGATCCTTCCTTCTTGGAGTGCATCCTGTTACTGAACTTGTTCTAAAAGGAATCTCCCACGTCATTCTTGGACACATGTTGACAAGATATTAGTGATCAATACACCTATTATGAGCAGGTTCTAAAGATTGCTTTTTCTTTGATATCAAGTTCCATGGCTCATGGAAATTTAAGACAAGGTTTAGTCACGATGTTGTTGAGTAAGGTTGTAACTTATTCTCTGTCATTGCTATTATTGGTTATATTGCATGTTTCTGGACCAGTCTTTTTGCAGCAGTACATGTTTTGTATCTACTGCTCTCTTTGTACTATGATTACTTTCTCTTTGTACTATAATTCGGGATACATGGTTATTTCGACCGAACCCGAATTTCGCTTAAGTTCAGCCCAACCTGAACTCATTGTCCCATCTGAAGCCCTAAGCGGCTAAGCCCACCTAATTAAGCACTTAATTTTATTAAGTCCAACTCTAAACCTCACAAAATATAAACCCAACCCTCTTTTGTCTCCCTCGGGTGAGGCCTCACGCTCTCCATATCTCACAGTCCCAAGTCCAATGGCAACTTCACCTATTACCAAAACATGGTTATTTCGACCGAACACGAATTTTGCTTAAGTTCAGCCCAACCTGAACTCATTGTCCCATCTGAAGCCCTAAGCGGCTAAGCCCACCTAACTAAGCAATTAATTTTATTAAGTCCAACTCTAAACCTCACAAAATATAAACCCAACCCTCTTTTGTCTCCCTCGGGTGAGGCCTCACGCTCTCCATGTCTCACAGTCGCAAGTCCAATGGCAACTCCACCTATTACCAAAACCAGGGCTGGACGGTCAAGTTTGGGTTTTTGGGTAACCCAAAACTGGAACCGAAATTTCAGGTCTCGAGGCACCGAGAATCGATACATTAAGGGAAAAAGAGGGCATCAGGTTGGAATGTGGGTGTTGTTCAGGTTTCCTTGAACCAAACACCGAAACCAAAATCTGGAGGAACGAAGAAGGACCAAAACTTATGCACAAGCTCAACTCACTTTATGTTTATGCCACAGGTCCAGACCACCCTGCCACCCTGACCTGGATCCTAAATCCCAAGTTCCCAACCCTAGCTCCATCCCCTCATTTCCTTTCATTCCTCAACGTCGACGATCAAAATTGAAAACCTCTTCCTTTCTATCTTCATCAAGACACCACAAATCATCGAAGATCACTCTTCTTCATCAACTGTCATCAATCATGAAGAAAGAACCGTTGGAAAGAGAGGCGAATCAGCTCTAGTTCCTACATCCCAACCTGGCCATACAAAGAGGAAGAAGAGATTGAAGAAGAGACATGAATCTACTGTAAGTATGTGTTACTACCGCTTACCACTAGTTACATCATATACTAGGGTGGTATATTTAGTCCTAAAAATATTTTCAGAAATTCATAGATCACAATAAAACATGTTCCTGATGCAAAAACTTTCAAAATTTGAGTTGAAAATGAAGGTGGTACATACTAGTACTAAGTGATACCAATGTGGCAACTAGAGGTAAACATCTCTCTAACTTTAATTTGAAAACATTCGCTCTCCCTTCTCTCTTCAAGGAAGTTCCTTTCCCCATTTGTACAAGGTTGCCGCCAGCTCCCTTGATTGACCAGCGGTGGCCCAACCCCTTCTCTTTCTTCTATCTTTCCTGTGTTTCACTCTGCTCCTGTTTTACCTTCCCTTTCTACTTGTTTGCTTATTTGTCTCTTTTCTCGGATGCTTCTGACTTTGTTTGATTACATGTTTCTACATCTTCCCCTGTGTGGATCTCTCTTCCAACCCCTTTGTGGGTTCCCTTCCTCCCCTTTGAGGGTAGAGCTTTTGCCCTCTGTTCTAATCAATTACAACTTGAGATGTTTCGATCTATGTAGCAATGGAAGCTGGATTGGTTTGAATCCAGCTTGCCTCCGCATCTTCTTTTCGGTTGTCTACCTCCTTCTTTCACCTTGCATATCTCGGTGTTTCGGAGATGATGGGCCCATTGCTTGAACTCGGAGTGAAGGTCTTGGAGGCAGAAGTTCATTCCCCATGGCTCCTCAACCAGTCTCCCTTTTGATATGAGGTTTTCTTGACTTTTCTGGTTTTGAGGGCTGAAAGTGTTTGGTACGGTGAAGGCGATTCAGAGGCACCCTCCTTCCGGGTTGGTGAATCCAGCTCTTCCCCTTGTTGATGTTGGTTCGTCGTCCCTCGACCTGGGTTGGCGGCTGGCGGCAGGTGGTGGTGCTCGAAGTCTCCAGCGGCGGGGAGGGTTCCACGGGGAGCTTTGTACAGCTAGGTCAGAGAAGTTGTGCCTTGTTGGGCTCTTTGACTGGGCCATATTGGGTTGTTGGTCTCAGTTTGGGCTTTGGGTCTTTTCTCTAACTTTGTTGTACAATGTAAACTTTTTCATTGGGCTTGGTCCGGTTGCTATATAATGAACTGATTTGTAAAAAAATAAAAGGTAACTAGAGGTAATGGGTGATACAAAATTTTCTCTTGAAATATTCAAAAAATGGAGGTTAACCGCACTAAATGTTTTCTGGCCCGTCGGCTCAAAGTAGGAGTCTAAATAACTGATGCTAACCAGTTTGGTGATGGGGTCCCGGTTTTACCGATTGGCTGACCGATCAGTTTTAATAACACTGTTTTTATGACCTTACACATCTATCTTGATTTAGTGAATGCTCTAGAAACTTTTGTTTGCAAAATTTTCTTGATGCACGCGCACTTCCGAATTCACATATGTGATTCTATCATAAGTACTATTGAAAGCTATGTACTTTACTCCACATAGAGTATAGATATCATTAAGAATTACTATTATATCATATTATACACAACTTGTTATTACCCATTAAACTCATTCTTGAGATCTCCAGTCTATGGGTCTGGTTACTATCATGTGTAATTCAACCTCTTTGGGCATAAGTCTCCTACCTCTAGTGGCATTTTGTACTTTCTCTCTATCTAATCCTTTCATCAAAGGATAAAATAAGTTTTCTTCAGATCTTACAAATTCCACCCTCACTACTCCTATAGTTAGGAACTCTCTCATTCTATTGTTCTTACAATGAATTTGTCATCTCTTACCGTTGTAGTAAAAGTTCTCAACCTTAGCAATAACTACATATTCCTATCACAATGGATCTATTCCAGCGGAATCAGTCTTTCCCGTGAGGGAATCTTTATCAACAAATATCTCAACCAACTCACTTCTTCACTAACCAACACAGGCTTACCATCAAAGTAATTATATTTCTTCAAGACTTTTCTATTTAATCATATTGATCAAGAGAGAAAATCTTGTTTGTCCTAATTATCTTGGTTATAATAATAACATTAGCTTCACTTAAATCTTTCGCATTGAATTTCTCACACAACATTGACAACACTAATATTTGTAAAGATCAACATATCATCTGCATTTAAACATAGTTTAGTGTAAGTCTCATTCTCAAATTTGTATTAGATGCACTACTTGTGACTTTCATTCCCTTTGAAAACATGAGAGAGAACTAAACTGTCAAAATTTTCACGCCACTGTTTTGGAGGTGTTTCAGCTCATATAATGATTTCTCTAAGTTACATACTTCCAAAGCATGTTGAGGAATAGCAAACTCTTCAGATTGTTTCATGTAAACTTTTTCATCTAAATTACCATACAAGATTGTTTAAAGCAGTACAAGAAATAAATAAAAAAAACTAATGGATGTTACTTTAGATACTAATGAATAGGTAAGACCCCAATGCCCGCCTTACGTCTAGCGTCTTCTTGAACATTGTTATTGACTATATAGCCAACAAAGACACATTTATAAGCTCTAATAGCCAACTTAATCCTCTTAGCACTTAGGAGCATGAACTCTCTCACACAGGCTAAACAATCCCTCGTTCTAAAATAGGACTAATTAGGTGATCTATTCGTTAAATATCTCATAGGGTGATTCTTTACTGTTAGTCTTAGGAACATGATTAATCACGAAGCAAACAGTAAACAAAAATATTATCCCATCAAGAAGAAGCAACACCAGAATTAACCATAAACAAACACAACTAATTAAGTCTAGGTCATATTTTCCGTTCAGCTTTACCATTCATTTCCGGCGAATATTGTGCAGTAGTTTCACAAATGATACCATGTGAGTTATTGAATTCCTCAAATATATTATAGTCATATACCGAGTCTTTATCCCTCATAAGTCATTTAATTTTTCTATTGCAATTAATTCTCAAACTGTACCACAAACCGTTTAAACATATCAAGAGCATCACTTATGTTTTCCATCAAGTAATCAAAATAATACTCAGAGCAATCATCAATGAGCATGATAAAGTATCTCTTGTCATTCCCAACTAACGCCCTACCCATTTCACAAATATCAAAATGAATCATATCTAAGAGTTTTGATTCTCTAAACACATATTTTATGGGGCTTACTTTTTTTTATTATTATCTTAGTTTGACTACATAAATCACATTATAAAAATTCATCCAAAGACCGCAATCTTGACCACCTCAGACCACACACTAAAGGAGACCGCAAACTAGACCCGGACCATAGTTCTGGTCTCACAGTCCATACCAAACCATACTGTTGATGTGACTTGAATCGGACTATCAACCGCTACGACTGGTAATCGGGGGTCTCGCTGACCGGTAAGCGAGTGGGGCCCAGGGGCAACGCCCCGGTGGGGGTGCGGGGCAACGCCCCCGGCCCACGGTGTATGGGCTCAATGTTATTTGGGTTTGGGTTCTGGGCCTGGTCTGTAACTGTTTCCTTTGCCAGATTGGATTAGGTTTAGACCCACATGGAGAAGTACTATAAATACTTCTCATACTCCTCTGTAATCTGTAATCTCCTCGATATAGTGAAACTGGCTCTCTCTCGCCCGTGGACGTAGCTAACACACATCGTGTTATTAAACCACGTAAATCGTGTGTCTGTGTTTTTTCGATTCTTGCTTTTGTATTCTTGCTTTGTTGATTCCTGCGATTTCCCGATCCGTAGCAGCGCGTTTATAACACATACAATACGGTCTAGACCGTGGTTCCATACGGTTTGGTCTAAATTCCCACCCTACTTGAAACTGATCGTCGAGTGGCATAACTTATGTGACGATCTCATGATCAATCTTTTGGAGTTCATGTGAATGAACTTCAACGAACTTGTTGTTCACCATCTTGTAGTATAAGTATTGGCTGACAACGTACTTATTGGCTCCAACATCCTCAATGTCGTACTTTTTCTGGTGAGCATTTTAGACCATCTTTGTAGTGATGTTATGATCCAAATAATAGTTCGTAGAGATCATCCGCTAGAAAATGATGATGCAGTTCTTTGAGAGAAAGTCATCTTCTTTCCACTTTGCAACAATTGTAGTCTTCTCCGCATAAGTGGAATCTTCAGCCAGAACCGATGACATATGGAGGCGGCTTCTTGGTTATGAGATAGAACATCTTTTGTCTTCAGCGGTGGAAATTGGCTTAAGGAAAATGAAAGGGGCGATTGATATCGCTCAAGCGAGACACGATATTTTGTTTGGCAGGCATATAAACAACATATCGTCTTAAAAGTGTTGAAATCAAACTAGAAAAACAGGGGTTAATGATATGCCTGAGTTGGGGACTAGATCCCCCCCCCCCCCACCCACACCCACACACACACTGACACTATCTCATAAATTGCGCTCAACAGACTATCAATCAACAGATTGGCTTCAGGATAAAACAACTACTCACAATTCTTCTTATTCATGCTAAAACACAAGGAGATCAATGGAGAACACTCTCAATTTTTATGCTCAATTTCATATGTATCTTAGGGTTAGAGAACTCAACCCTTTTTTTTATATATATATTTATATACTGAGGTCTTTAGTTCTCCGTTCTTAGTGGAGGACTGGAAACCGGTGTTTCAAAAGGAAATTAAAGGTAACCAATATGATTGAACATTCATTCAATATGAAAAATTAACCCAATTGATATAAGTATCCTTCAATACGATTGATCGAAACTTTTCTTGAATACGGACAATTAATTCAATCGATGAAAGTTTCCTACCATACGGTTAATCAATTCGATTGGTTGAAAAATTCCTTCAAAACGAACAATTAATCCAAATTGAATGCACTTATGTCTTTTTCTAGAGTTTTCCTTCTTTAAATTTTTACAAACTATTCATATTTTTCAACAAACGAGTAATTAATGAGAAGAAAAAGAATATTTGAGAGGACATAACAACATGAGCCCACGAGAAACCACTTGGTTCTGTACACCTAATTGGAACACATCGACAGTTAGCATCCTTAACTAAACCAAATTTTTGTAACTGGCATATTCTGTAGTAGGCCTGGAACGTGAAATGACTAGAATAACCCGATTTGGTACCGTCAGCAACAGCCCCCTGCTTTTGTAGTGAAATTGTTTCTTCTTCCAAAATTTACCGTGTGGCATTGCATGCGAACCCTTCCTTCTACATTTCAGAAGAAGCAACAAATTCCGTGGTGGGCCCCGTAATTCCCATCCCTTTCAGGTTCTGTCGACTCTTCCAGCAGGGAAAATGGAAAAGAAAATGAAGGCCACAAACGCTCAAATCGCCAATACCAGACCTGCAGTCTGCAACTTTCCTCTTATCGTCTCAGCACATCACCCCATAATTTAGGGCTCGGATAGAATAACAACATGATTCATTAAGGGTAAAAGAGTAAATTATATATAAATAATAATAAAATAATTTCAATTAAAATTCATATCCCTACCCTCTAAACCCACGACCAAAGCGTCTTCTACGTTGTCCTGCAATTCCCTGCCATCACCGCCCCTCCCCACATCCACCCTCGCGCATCCGAGCTCAGATGATCTGGCCCAGATTGTCGATCGCCGTCAGCGTCCCGCCGACGCCGCAGATCGTTGCGATGAACAGGATCAGCATGTCGAGGCTGAAAAGCGCACGGAGGATCGTGAAGTCTTCGCCCCTGTTCGGCGGCCAGAACACCGTCCTCCAGCACGACGGCGATTTTTCCTCCCCTCCGTAGTCGAAAACAGAGGAGGCAACGGTTTTGACCGGGTCGGGCGAGGGGGAATTGGATCTGGGAATGATGGTTTTGTCCTTCCAGATCTTGTACTCCTCGGCGACGGAGACGGCGAGCGGGAGGAATAAGAGGACGAGATTACTGCTTTCACTCCCGTTTGAGATGTCTATATAAATATCGCCTCTGGTTACAGTACCAGATTACGACGGGGATGAAACAGTCGAAGTCGGGTGATCGAAGCTTCAGACCAAGGTTTAACCTTTTTGTACATTAGGGGGTGGATGTTAAGGCAGGGACGTGAGCGGACCACTGCAGAACCCACACCATGATTCCTTCCATTTTCAGGGTACTAACTCAGCAGCTCCCCTCTTTCAGCCTTTCTGGGTTTTCGGCCATAATACGTAGCTGCATTGTCTGTAATTTGTTTTGGTTGGGGTGCGAATTTTCAGCTATCCCCACTACTGCAACAACATTTTGTATATTACGAAAATGGTTCATTCAATGAAATTCTATCAAGTGTATTTCACGCTCTCTTCTTTGTGACCTAACCTACCTGCAAATGACTCGCAATCTGAAGCGAAACGATCCTACCCTTACGGAGAATGATCCATTTTGTCGGGTATCGTTCTATTCGTCGATGATAACCCACCAGTTGGTGTTCGATTATGAGTTTACAATTGTTTTCTGATAAGACTGAGAAGTGGCTTTCCTTTTCCAGTTAACATAATCCAAATCGTTCGGCATGATTAACCTCAAAATTGCAGTGACATGTATCAGTTTAGGCAACAATGGCGAGTGGGAGGAATAGGAGGACGAGGACCATGGCGGCGCTGCTCTCGCGCCCCCGACGGAGAAGGAAGCTAAGCTAGACGACATAACAAAACTGAAAGTAAAGAAAAAGAAAGGAAGAGAAGAGAAGTGGAGGATTTGAGCGACCGGCTGTCGGAGCTGCTCTCCACCATCGACTCTGACAGTCCCGAGGCCGCCATTATCAGGAGCTTGCTCATGTGATTTGATTTGATGTCATGCCAAGTAGCCACTCCATATAATTGACGCAAAGAATATATATATATATATATATATATATATGGTGCTGTATTCGGTGCACCCACTTTTTCGGGTGCACTGAGTGCACCCGCCTCATAATTGTCATTCTTACCATGCAATTCATGTCAAAACGGTATCAATTGTTGCTTATGATATTATGAACAAGAAGCACATGAATTTGAAAAAATTTCATTCAAAATTTACTTTAATTTGAAGGATTTAGGAATTTAGGGTTAGGGTTTAGGTTTACAATTTGGGATTTTGGGTTGGGATTCAAAATTGAATGTTAAGGGGTTAGGGTAATGGATTGATTTGTTATGATTCTATGTCATATCATCATATTATATTGAGAGTACTAATTAAAGTTCAAAATTTGATGTATTATGGACGATTTTAGAGTTGGGTGCACTGAGTGCACCCAAAAAAGTGAGTGCACCGAAGTAGCCACCATACATATATATATGTATGTGTGTGTGTGAGAACGATGTATGTGTGTACGGCCGTGCAGTGCTAGCTAGCCATCTTCATGCGTGTGAGATCGATTCATGATCTCTACTCTACTGTGACACCGTAAAGCAAACCATAAACCTCCTAGTGCAGACCACAAATCAATTAAAACAAACCAGAAACCCCACAAATCAAACCATAAAATTTTCGAAAGCACACCATAAACTTCTTGATGCAACCCAGAAACACAATAAAGCAAACTAGAAACCTCACAAAGTATACTACAAGTATTCCGAAAGCACACCAGAAACAAAATAAACCAAACCAGAAACCTCCTAATGCATACCACAAATCTCCTAAAACAAACCACAAACCTAACAAAGCAAACCACGACATTTGCGAAAGCACACCAGAAACCTCCTAATGCAAACCACAAACACAGTAAATCAAACCACAAAAAAGCAAACCATAAACGTCCTAATGCAAATCACAAATATATTAAAACAAACCAAAAACCTCACAATGCAAACCACAAAGTTTTTGAAAGCAAACCAGAAACTTCTCAATGCAAACCAAAAACACGATAAAGCAAACCACAAAAGGCATAAAAAAATATGAGAAACCAAACCATAAATCTCACAATGCTAACCATAACATCCGGTGATCGTTGACCGGCCAACGAAGTTTGTTGACCGAACTCCGGTGACCGTCAGTGAGAAGATTCCGGCACCGATAGGCATATTCCGGCCCCGATGACTAGATTCCGACGCCGGTAAGCATATTCCGACACCGGTAAGCATATTCCGACGACAAATAGCATATTCTGGCGACAAAAAGCATATTCCGGTGACCGGCGAACAGTTTCCGGCAGCCGCTGGCAGAATTCCGGCGACCAAATTTTTGGGCAGAAAATAAAAAAAATATTTATTTTATTTTTTTATTTAAACAAATTTTTCATAATGACAATTATACCCCTGCTTTGATTTTACACTAGGTCAACTCATCTAATAAAAAGTCATCACAATCCTAGCTTCCTATTGGATGGAGACTAGTGTTGTTACAATAACAACACAAGGAGTGTTGTCATAGTAATCGGTCCAAACATTAATGGAACAATCGCCCAGAGCTATAAACTCTTCTTTTGTTTTTTTATGGAAGAATCCAGTGTTCAAGAACACTCGCCAAGGCGTGTTTAGTAGCTAGGCGAGGAGGATTCTTGGAGAGGAATGCTAGGCGAAGTTGCTGGGCGCCATAAACGCGGAATCGCGTTGAAGAACGCCTAGGCGGCGATTCCAAGCTTGGATCCGCGATTACAAGCTATGGGCGACGCCCAGAAAAAAAAAATTGGTTCTGATGCTGCTGTGCGTTTTGGATGCTGGCGCAGAAGGGGGAAAACCCTAATAGCAGTCGAGCATCGCAAGTTTGCAGTAGTCGACCGCCTTCATCCCTCATCTCCAGCCGCCTTCTCCAGCATCGCAAGTTTGCAGCAGGAGGATTCGTCGCCAACTGCGCCACATCTTCGCCGCCAGTCTCCAGAATCGCCAGTCATCGTTAGTTTCGCCGTCGGTCTCCAGCATCACCAATCGCGCCTCGTCCTCGCCGTCGGTATCCAGCATTGCCAATCGTGACTCGTCCTCGCCCTCGTTCTCCAGCATCGCCGCAGTTCTCAGCCGACGGTGGAAGATCTCTAGACTAGGGTTTCCATTCTCGGAGGTACATCCTCGTCCTCGGTGGAAGTTCTCAGCCTCGTCCTCGCTGTCGGTCGGTGGAAGTTCTCTAGAACATCCTCGCCGTCGGTGGAAGTTCTCAGCCTCGTCCTCGCCATCGGTTTCCAGCATCCCTGAACGAAGAGGAGGTACTGGGAGTTCAGAAGAAATCGGAGTTTTAGAAGTAGTTGTAGAGAGGAGAGAATCGGAGTTCTGCCGCTTCGTTGACAAGGTACTGGAGATGTGTGATTGCTTTATTTTGGTTGCTACTTGCTAATCAGTTTTGGTTGCTTTTATTTTGGAGGCCAGCACAAGAATCTCAATTCTCTTACTCATTTCATTGCTGTGTGATTGCTTTTATTTTGGTTGCTACTTGCTAATCAGTTTTGCTATCCCATTAAAAAATTGGCTGCTGAAAATGTGTGTTTGCAATTACAGGGCTGCTTGTTTTTGGTTAAATGGAACAGACAGAGGCTACTGTCACGACTTCAACGGTTGAAAATGCGAACTCTTTGAAGAGGAAGTCTGATGATATTGGTTGGGAATATGGAAAGCTCGTCGATCCAAACAACAAGGATAGAATCATGTGTAACTTTTGCAAGAATGTAAACACAGGAGGAATTAACCGTTTCAAGAAACACATTGCTCAGGTTGGTGGTGGAGTTTCCAAGTGTAAGAGTTGCCCAAATGAAGCTAAATTGGCATGCTTGAAATGGTTGGAAGGAACAGAAAAGAAGAAGCAGGATAAGGTTGTTCGTGAACTAGGTTTGAGAAGTGATGTTAATGTCTCTTCCGGTGGACAACCAAAGAAGACCTCACTTGTGCAGGTAGCTGTTGCATTCAAAAGATAAATCAAGCACTTTTTAATGAGAAGACACTTCAAGTGCATCAATATATTGCAAAATGGGTGTACACACATGGTTAGTGCATAGCTATACCCTTTACTTCTTTCTTAGATGCACAATTTGTTTTTCTAATTTACTCCTGAATTTATTTTGTAGCTGTTGCATTCAATGCCATTGAGAATGATGAGTTCAAGCAAATGGTTGAGGCTATTGGTCAATTTGGTCCTGGATTGAAGCCTCCTACACATTATGAGCTTCGAGAGCCTTTGTTGAAAGCTGAGTATGCAAGGACTAAGAGCTTGTTAAGTGATCGAGAGGCGGAGAAGGAAAAGAATGGTTGCTCTATTATGACTGATGCTTGGACATACATGAAGAGGAGAAGCATCATGAACATAGTCACACATTGTGTCGAGGGAACCAGCTTTATAATGTTGAAGGACACATTAGCGATTTCTCACACAGGTGAAGTAATCATTGAGCTAGTGGACAATGCAATAGAGGTAGTTGGAGCTGGACATGTGGTGCAAGTGGTGACAGACAATGCTTCCAACAATATGGCAGCAAAGGCCCTCTTGTTGGAGAAGAGGCCGAACATATTTTGGAGTTCTTGTGCAACCCACACCATCAATTTGATGCTCCAAGGAATCGGCAACATACCAAGGGAAAAAATTGTAGAACGAGCTAAGGGGTTCACTATCTTCATATATGGCCACCACCGCACCTTGGAATGCATGAGATCCTTCACCAAAAAGAGAGAGATCATCCGACCAGGTGTGACTCGATTTGCTTCTCAATTTCTTACTCTACAAAGTTTGTTGGATAAGAAAGATTCTTTGAGGAAGATGGTGGTGGATGTGAAGTGGGAAAATATTAAGGAGACCAGTTCAAAGAAAGGAAAGGAGGCTTATGACACGGTTCTTAGTGTTAGGTTTTGGAATGGTGTGGAAATTTGCTTGAAAGTCTTTGAGCCATTGGTGAAGCTTCTTCGATTAGTGGATGGGGATGTGAAACCTTCTATGGGTTTTGTGTATGGTGAACTTTTGAAGGCAAAGAGAGAGATAAAGGAGGCGTTTAAGAATGAAGAACTTCGTTACAAAGAAGTCATTGCTATTGTGGAGAAGAAGATGAGAGGCAGACTTGATGCTCCATTGCATCTAACGGCATATCTTCTCAATCCTCACTACAATTATGCCGACTCCTCAATATTTGACAATTCCGACATTACAACAGCATTGATCACTTGTGTTGAGCAATTCTACCATGGTTGTGATGAGGACATACATGATGAGGTGGTGAACATTGAGTTCACAAAATTTCAAAGGAAACAAGGACTCTTTGGAAAAAAGATGGCAAAGAATTGTGTAAACTTTGACTACAATCCTGGTTAGTACTTCTTTCCACCTTTCCTTGTAACTTATGATTTAGTGTCGTTCACTAACTTAGAGTTAATTAATTTCTTAGTGGCTTGGTGGAGAATGTATGGAAGTGAGACACCTCATTTGCAAAAGATGGCTATAAGGATTATGTCATTGACCTCAAGTTCTTCTGCTTATGAGCGAAACTGGAGTACTTTTGAGTCGGTTAGTAGTTTTGAATTTGTGTCCATATGCTATATAGTAAAAGTAGATATTAGATGGAAGCTTGTATAATCAATTGTCCTTGCAGATTCATACCAAGAAGAGGAATAGGCTTACTACTAGTCGCATGAATCAACTAGTGTACATCCAGTTTAACTCTAGATTGATGTCCAAGCAAAGGAAGATAAAGGAGAGGAAGAATGTTGATGTTCTCATAAGTTCCGATTCAATTGAAGCACAAGGCTTTCTATTTGAGGGAGGAGATAGTCACACTTTGCATGTGTTTGGTGATGAAGATGCTGAAGGTTTCGATGGCATTCCATGGAATGTTATTGATGAGGCAAGGGGAGCTAGTGAGAATCTTCAACCTCGCAGGAGTGCCAGATTAGTGAGAGACCTTGCCGATGAGGAGTTTGAGTCTGAAGAAGAAGATGACGAGGAAAGTGAGGCCATTCATTTCTAAGAGGATGAGGAGGATGTTGTGGTTAACAAGAACTAGGGGTGGCATTTCGGTTATAACCGATAACCGATCGGCCGGTTATCGGTTAACCGAAATAATCACTCTCCCTATCGAAAACCGCCCGAAATAGGCCTCGGTTTCTCGGTTATCGGTTAACCGACCCACTTTTAAGACCAAAAACCATGTCGTCGAGCCTCCGATAACCGACCGAAGTTCGGTTACTTCGGTCACCGGTTAGTCGATAACTAGTCGGTTATCGGTTTAACCGGCCGGTTAACCGGTAATCGGTAACCGAACGGCCAACACTAACAAGAACTATATGGATGAAGATGATGAGTGATCAACTTGGAGTTTATTAACTTGTCATCGCCTTTATGGCTTATCTTAACATTTGTAATGTTTTATTATGTTTGTTTCCTTCTATGTTACTACTTCAATGATTGTTTTCTTGAATATTGCCAGTTACGGAACTGCAAATCAGTGAACTTATGAATGTTATGTTTGATCTTGCACTCTAAACTTACATATTTATCATTTTTTTTTCCGACGTTTAATCGCGCCTAGGAAACGACTAATCGACCTGGGTGCTGAGCGGTGTCTCCTCGCCTAGACGGCGCCCAGCGTCTTCTTGAACATTGGAAGAATCACCGATAATATTTTTCACCAAAAACTGGAAAAAAGCTATATTACCGGGCTCAAAGTCCCACAGAATCCTGTCGCAGCATGTTACACAAGGCCATGTAGGGCCCGGAATCCCATTCCCCCAGCCCACATCAAAATGGGCTCAAATGTGGGCCGGTAAGGGCACAACCTAGTCAACGACCCTTCTCAACTGATCGGATCGATTCCCAAATTCGTGACCAAGAGCAGGCCCAGAGGATACGAGACTGGGTTTCAGGAAGGCTACATAAAGGACATTTTGGCACACTCTCGCCCATAGGTAAGATACTAGAACACGGCCCGGCCAGTTGGCCGGTAGAGTTCGATAGTCATATAATTTTTGGGCTGGACTTTTTGGTTTTACTTGAAATCAGATCGTATAACCCGGACCGAGCCAAGACCGGGACCATATAGCAAACAATTCAGGCCTAGATTTGAGGTATAAAACTGTTTGGGACCAGACCGAAAACCGGATAAAGACAGGATAAGAGAGCTCAACACCCAAAATTTAACCTCCTAACCCTTTCAGGCCTTAGGCCACTCGAATCCCCCCCTCAGGTCACTCAAATCGCCATAAGCTCAATCTAAAATCAAGACCGAATTAGGACCGGACCGGATCAAGACCGGACTGTATCCAATCCAATCTTTGGTCCTTATATCCTCGAAAAGACCGAAAGGGACCGGATCAATTCGGGCTAATTTAACCGGACCGGACCGCATAGTCACCCCAATATAATTTGTATGTGCTATTTATATTAATGATGTGTGTTTGTTTGGTATTTCATGTTGAACTATGTAGACAAATATTCAAATTACTTCGAGTATATTTAGAAGGTATTGAAAACATGAGAAAACTTAAAATTACTAACAAAGAAATGCAATGAACAGTAACATATATGTTTACAAACAAAGTGTTGCTATATAAATCGTCCATAAATAACATGTGAGTTGCTTCCAATGATACATACATAATCAATCTTCACCATAAAAGAAAATGATTTTACTTTGATGGAGTTTAATGTATCGTGATTTTTTTAATCTTCTTTGTCGATCATGACACTAATTATATATTGACATATAATATAAGAATGTTGACATATATTTTTGAATTGGATAATGTCTATTTTTTATCTAAGTCTTTTTCAGATTCTTTTATATTATCCAAACCTATCGAAATACTAAGAATTAGTCAAATGTCAACTTTCAGCTAGCAATTTTGTTAGTAATATTGACTTGCCAATATTATACTGACCTGAAAGAGACACATGAAGTTTAACATTCCAAAAATTTAGTATTTTAATGGCTAATATTTTGATGCAATATGAAAGATTTGGCTAATTAATAGAACTTGATAGGTTTGGATAATATAAAAAAATCTAAAAAATGTTCGGATAAAAAATAGAGATTATCCTTCTGAATTTGTTACCATTTTTAATGAGAATGAGTTATATGAACTTAGCTCTTTATTTGACAAATGTGTACAAATTATTGTCATAGAATTATTCTTTAACCTTTGCATTCATTGCTCTAATATAAGTTTAGCTTGCATATTTGAGATGGTAGTGGATAAATGACTAATTTTATTATGGTTAACTACATATATTGAACAACATTAACTTAAGTTATCGATGTAGAGTGCAATTGTGGATAACTTTGTTTTCTTAAACTATTTAGTTAGGACAGAACTCTAAGCACATGAACCATTGGAGCTATTGAAGTTGGGAGGGAAATATTTGGGGTTGGAGTAGTGTCATCGGCACTTGAGTATGACAAAACACAAATGTCAAAAACAAAGAGAGTTGGCCGATGATGAATTATAGAGCAGATGTAGATGCAAATATTGCAAGCAGAACTGGAATATCTCTCCAAATTTGAACCCAAGTTGTATTAGTAGGAAACTTGTAAAAAATATTGTAGTATACGACTTCAAAGAGCTTCAATAAATGAATATAGGAAACATTGGTACGAAGAAGAATTTGTCAATTCTAAATCTCGCCACAAAATTAAACGAACTCAAATTTCACCTAATATGGCTATTAAATCCATTCCTAGCTCTCCCACTTAGATTTATATGTAGAACTCTATCTTATTAACTATCTAGTCGTCACATATACTGGGGTTATCTTTTATGTTCATTTGTATGAACTCATATGACAACTAAAAATAATATAGTCACCACCATGTTTACTTGGTATTACAACTAATATGTCCAGCTAATTATATGTCCCAAGTTAGCACGAACTTTAACCAACCTAACTATACTCAAGTTTTGATGAAAAGTTAATTAAAAACTATTCACAATCAATAATAATGTAACTTTCAAATATATATATATATAGTTTGGTGGTCGTGAATTTTGGTGCTACATTTGGTGTCAATGTGTAGGGTTACTTAATAGTGAATATAGAAATATTTTAACATATATGAATACTACATTGCAAGCAACCTAAAATACATTAAATAAGTGCACTCAGTACTCGACTTCGAATACCTGATAAATACAACATTATAACCAATTGTTACTGATGTCGCAAAAAATAAGTATACTTCTAAACCATACATAAAAGATTTCAAACATCACAAATATTTTAAATAAGCTAATTATTATATATGATAAAAAACACTCCTTCAACCAACCAAGTGAATATACAGTTGCATCAAACTTTGAACTGTTTTATTTATCTGAGAATCAAAATGCATAATCAAGTCATTTGTACTGACTTTACAAATTTACTAACACATACAAAAATGGTGAAAAGAACCAGTACATTAAACTCAATCTTGTTTCATGATTGTTGATATAATCATGCTATATTAGTAAAAACATTTGAGGTTTGGCGACTAAACGGACTATACAAAAAATCAGAAAACCAGTCACTTATTCTTTGCACAAAATATTGTTGCTTCATGATAATTCTAAAAATTATACCTTAAGAATTCCGCATCACTTCTATATATTTAATAATTTCAATTTGAAATGCAATATTCAAATCAATGGTATTTGGTCCACCATTTATAAGATAAAAATAAATTGAATTGATCGTTAAAATTAAAATAAAATAATTAAAAAATGAAAATCAAAGTATCAAATGCTAAAGAAATACTTAAGGCGGACTTAGTTGGCTAGCTAACCATGTTGGAATAGTCATATGAATTTTTAGATTTTTGCTGTTTTATATATTTTTAATTTAAAAATTAACAACAAATTTGTTTAGTGTAATTACTTAAAATTCTTGAGTTTCTTAGAAGATATTCGGTTTCAAACCTCAATACTAATACATTTTTTAAATAAAAATAAATAATTGTAATGACGAATGTGCGCTTCCTACTTTCATTCTCGTAGCAAAGAATTTGAAATGGAAGAAAATAAAGGATGAATCCCCATTATATATCTTATCGATAGATAGATAATATATGTAGAATTGTCTTATCGGATTATATATATTATAAGATAGATAAATATATGTGCAAATTGTCTTACCGGAAGAGGTTGGTGTTAGTACATGTTATATTATTATTATTATAATATATATTTATATATATATATATATATATATATATATATATATGGCGAGTTCTATGGTACCCTGGGTGAAATCCGGGGTACCGCATACCTTAAGTATGAAAACACTATCTAGACCTTGAATTGACCGATCTTTCGGACATGATACTATACTCTAACACTTAAAGATCAAAATCTAGGTGTTAACTCTCCCAATCTTATACTCCAAGATCAATTTAATTAGAAATAATAATCGACGGTTATGATTCATCCAAATATAGGCACAAAAAGGAATGCACCATCTTAGGGTTTATAGATTATGATTTAGATAATTATGACCTAGGGTTCACTCATTAAGGGTTAGGGTATAATATCAGACACAAAAATTCTGGTAATTCGAGGTTTAGATAGAGTTTCCATACTCGAGGTATGCGGCACCCCGGATTTCACCCGGGGTACCATAGAAGCCACCATTTATATATATACTAGGATGTGATGCGCGCGTTGCCGCTTTGTGCGGTGGTTGTCATTTGTTTGTAGTGTAATTTTATTGTTGTTACCATTACTTAGTATTTAGTTTTCACTATTATTTAGATGTATTATCCTAATGCTAAGGAGTGATTGCGCAAATATGAGTGGGTGGGTAGGAACATACTCAAAGGAGTAAGAGAGAATTTCTCAATGAACAAAAAATTATGCATAAAAGAATATTTATTGAGGCTTTAAATTAGTAGAAATGATCGAGCAGTACTCCCCATGATTCGTCCTGGGGAGAGATCGAGCTTCAAGAAATAGTGCATGGTCTTATCAATACACAAATGTATAACTCTCCAAGGATTGACGTATTTAAAGTGGTAGTTAGGTTGTATAACTCTCCAAGGATTGACGTATTTAAAGTGGTAGTTAGGTAATGATAGAGTGTTCATTTAACAAATACATACATATACATCTCTAATGCACTATGTACTTATTTGTTATACTAATTCACAAAACTACCTTGTTTTCTATTCTAATTCTTCAAACATTTTTTAGATACAATTATCACCTATTGTGTTGTTATGGTTGTTTTTTTAGATTTGATTTTTTTTCAAGGTGTATTGTAATGATAGTTGTTTATTATTGGTTATTTATTTACCATTTATAATAGTTGTTGGAAATTCCTAGCACAAGTGGCAAGGAAAACTCTAAAGAAACAAAGAAATAAAAAGTGGAATTTAACATTAGCCCAATAATTAGTAGGAAAAAATATTTTTGAACCAGATTGACTAATGAAATGAAAAAAAGTAGTATTTGCGAAATCGTATCATACCAGTTATCCAATTGGATATCGAAGCTCAAGTCGGTATAGATTTTACTGTATCAAACCTTGCTTCTAAAATTAAACCACGATTTAAGAATAAATATCCTAACATCGACTTGTCAAATATAATCTTCGGTGCAATTTTACAACCTTTGGAAATTATTGATGCACGAATCAATAGTTAATCATTACTATCCATTCGGTAAATGACTTAAGACCGATACTTAACTGATAGTCTAAACGCATAAATAATTCTACGACTGCAACCGGTTGGAGGTTTTATTGGTCCGGTCAATGGGGAGGGTTAGGGTGGCAACTCATTTTCAAGTTGTCACCGTGGCTACTTAGGGATCAGCCATCCATATCCTGTGCCACCCATCTTTTGGCCCAGATTTGTCAAGGGAAAATTCAGGAGCTGCACACAGGATCAAAACCCATCCTACGTCAATTACGCTAGGCCTCCTCGTATTTCGTCCGTCCCTTCTCTCTCCTTCTTCAATATCCCTGCAGGCAACGCTGCAATGACCGCCGTTCTGCATCCACTTGCCCCCAACATCAGAAGAGAAACTGTCGTAGCCCCGTTCGCACCGACGATCACTTCAATTGGCGAACCCACGACGTCTTCTCTGGCTGCGTTTCGTTCTTCACTCGCCGGCAGAGTCCACCCTCTCCATCTCTCTCTCTCTCACTCTGTCGCGGTGAGGATTTTTCGTCGGTGCGACGACGACGAGGAGCCGCCGAATGATTCCAGATCTGACCTACGAAGGATTTGGTAGTGATTTAGCTTTTAGGTTGTTTGGAATGGTAGTTCCAATAATGCATTGGTAGTGTGTAGGTTGTTTGAATGGTAGGTTCCTTTCATGCATTGGTAGTTTTCTGGATACCAGTGATTCTGTGCTATTTGGTGTGGAATGGTAATGTTCATTTGTCATGGTAGCGTGTATGTTATTTGGAATGGTAGGTTCTTTTCATGCATTAGTAGTGATCTGCATACCTGTGATATTTGGTGTGGAATGGTAGTCTTCATTTTGAATGGTAGTTTGTGTTCCATGCAACGGTAGTCATGTTTGGTGTGGAATGGTAGTGTTCATCCGTAATGGTAGTGTGTTGATAGACCGTTAATTACACATGTTTTTACCCCTGTTCTTACACCGTTTGAGATGTGATTTCTCGTGTTTTAGGCCGATTTCACGCTAGGTTGTGCTTGTTTGTGATATTTCAGGTCCTAGTACGTGAATGGAGGCTTGGGAGCGAGTTTGGGGTCGATTGGATGAAGATCGGGCGCGAGGCAAGGCAAAAAGGAAGCCACATGGGCGCAACCAGAAGCCACACGGCCGTGCAAGTGACAAACCTGGCCGTGTGGGATTATGGAGCCAGAACACGGCCGTGTTCTGTGGCCGTGCATTTACCGGCGAGAGCAAACACGGGCAGGATGAAATCTTACACGGCCGTGCGACCCTGGCCGTGTAAGAAGCCTGGAATTCGACTAAGTGATACGGTGCGTTTTGACTCACACGGGCAACTGGGTATGCCACACGGCCGTGTGGCCCTGCCCGTGTGAGTCGGGATTTCCTGGTTTTAAGCCAAATTTCGAACCAAAGAGGGGAAGAGCTGGGTTTTTGGATCCCAAACACCCAAGGGACGAACCAAAGAGAGAGAGGGCGATTTGAGGGCATTCTTGGAGTGGAATTGGAGGATTTCTTCGCCTTGGAAGCTCGAGGAACAAGCCCGGACTTGAAGACTGATCATCTGAAGATTCTTACTGCAGTCTCTCTCTTCTCTATGGAGTAACTTCCCTTCACTTAGGTTTTGAGGAACCCTAGCTATGTTTGTTTGATTGGATGATTGTATGAGTACTCTGACTTGATAATCTTGAGTTCATATTCAATCTATGCATGTTTTCATGATTCAATTCTGCTTTAGTCGAGATTATTGATTCTGCTTTGATCCTATGAGAGGGAATACCTGATTAGGTCAATAGAGCACCATAGATTGATAGTAGTGGATCGATTACTTTAGTCGATGGTTGATTCACTGCTTTGTATCGATTGAGAACCTCTTTCGATATAGGGAGTCTAGTTCAGAACACCTTGATCAGTTGTTCTATAGAAGGATACGTCCCTCTAGACAATTGACTCAAGAGGGCCTTGTTCCTTTAGTCGAGACTCAAGGTCTAGTCAAGGATTCTCCGCATTGTGAATGAAAGTGAAACAAGTTGGAAATCATCAATCGTTAGTCTGGCTAGTGGCTAGGGGGAATCATACCTAAGTGAGTTCCCAACCTGTAATTAGATTAACTTTAACTGCAGTTTGCTAGAGTAGTTTTAGTTCTTTCATCTTAATCTGGTTTGCTAAATAATAAACTGAAGCTGAGTAATAGTAACTCTAGAGACCCGTGGATTCGATATTTATCACTTGAGCCATTATACTGCAGTCCCTTCCATTGGTTACACTTGGCCATTGTTAGGTGTTGTGTCATAGCGAGTCATGTTTTTGGCTCCGTTGCCGGGGACTTTCTAGAGTATTAGGAAAGGCAGAAGTTTGTTACTTTAGCGTTTTTCTTTTCTTTTCTTTTCCACCCTTGCTTTTCACTTGGGTGTTTTTTGTTTTTGTTGGTGCAGATCTGAATCATGGATCCTCATGGCTTCTCCAACAATTGGGGGTATCCACCACCACCCGAGTGGTATTACCCCGAGACTCCCTGGAGCAATCAAGGAGGAGAAGACTATGGATTCGGGTTCCAGTACCAACCCCCTTACTACAGAGAACAACCGGACCCCTGGGCATATCAAGAACAACCTCATTACCAAGAAGAATTTCTCCCACAACCAGAAGGGCCATTGGAGCTGGAGTTACCCATGGCGGCCTTCACGGGCCATTCTGCAGAGCCATGCTACACTCCACAGCCAGATCCACACTATGAATTGAGGCTTCTCATGGAGAGATCATGCTCCAGGATGGATCATTGTGTCCAGGCCTATCGTGAAACAAAGGAGATCCTCCTGAGCCTTAAGAAGAGCGTCGATGATCTTGAGCGATCTTGGGCGCAATCTGCTCCAGATCACCCTTCTGCTACCATACGAGAAGAGGAGGAGGACGAAGAAGGCTACAAGGACATTGTGGAGCACACTGAAGTTGTCACGGAGAGCTCCCGTGATGATCATGAGCTTTGAAGAGGCGGGCATGAGTGAGGAGATGCAAGAAGATCTCATGAAAGAAATTGCTTGGCAACTTGCTCTCCAATCCGTGCTAGAAGAAGAAGAGCAAGAAAGGGTGCAGAAAGAAGTTGTGGAGGATGACGAAAGTGAAGCAAGAGGAGTTCTTGATCATTTCCCAGGGGTGATACCACATGAAGAAGGAAGGGAGGTTGAAGAAGAAATTGGCGTCTAGGCTGAGGACGGAGTTAAGGTGGAAGAGGCCTGCACCGGCCATGAGTTACATGTGATATCGCCACCAAACTTCGAGGAGCTGCTTGGCAAGGACCCATTTGCAGTGTCTCTTTGCCAGAACAAGGCCACCTCGACATCGGTCCCTCTTTGTGGACGCGATGGTGGCCAATCAATGCTGTCATATCTGGTTTGGGGCAATGAGACGAGAGAAGAGAAGAAGAGGTCTCGAGGGTGGAGACTTCATATGCATCAAGTACATGAGCCTTCATCACCTGCCACACCACATGCTCGTGACTTGAGACTCCACCTCATCGACGAGAACCTCAACTTCAAGGAGGTTCTAGCATGGACCAAAACTTAGGAGACATCGTCTGGCTCACGACGTGAAAGAAGCGCTTGTTGGGAGGCAACCCAACCAGTCGGTTTGCATTTCTTTCTCTATTTCTCCTCGGTTGAGTCAGTTTTGTTATTTGATTTTAGAGTCAATAACTCAACCTTTGTGAGATTCTGTGTGGTGTTTGTGTTCTGATTACTCTCTCTTTCTGGAATGCACCGCCTGACCCGTTCATCATCGTTCACCCTTGATCTGGTAACTTCGTTCTACCCTCCTTATCTTTCCTCCATTGAGGACAATGTCGTGATTAAGTGTGGGGGGATGTTCGATTATTTATGCGGGTGAATGTTTGGCTGTTTGTGTGCTTGGAGCTTAGTCCACTGTCCAAATTTTTAAATTTGAGGGCTCCAAGTACGTGTTTCCATGCAATTGCCTGCTCAGTATGCTTTGAATTGACAGTCTCTATAGTAATATGCAACCTAGGGAGGTGGTGTAGCACTTTTGGAGGATGTTGATGCATTTAGGAAATCTCATTTCTTCTTCATATTGTGTTGGTTGATTGAGTGAATTAGTGATCTTAGGACCCTTGAATTGTGTGGTGTTGTGGATTCTCTGCCTGTCATGGACTCTTGTATCATGTTTTAAGTTTAACAGGTGCTCGAAAATGTGCTTCAAAATAACGTCTCCCGTGCGAATAGGGCGAAAATGTGTAAGGGGAGACGGGAACCCGTTCCCAATTTCCACCTACTACCTCCAGCCCCCTTACATGTCTTTCCCCGCATGAGGCTCGAGACATCCGCTCCTGGCATGGCTGGTAAGAGCAGGTTGGGACCCTTGGAAAAAAAAAACAGAAAACAAGCAAAACAGAAAGAAAAGGGGTGCCAACCATCTTCAAAGAATATAGAGCACCTTGAAAAATGTGAGTCCATGATCTTTTGTTGTTGAGAATCTCTTCATCCACAGTTCATTTGTCCTCTGTTCACTATTTGCCATGATGCCGACTCGATACTAGTGCTTTCGCCGAAGAAGCTATGAGATGACTTGTGCGTCGGTTGACCTCGTAAGATGCTAAATGATCTAGGAAGTCCTCTACCTACGATCTGGGTTGTTTGTTGCTATAGAGGTATGGAGAGCTGCATTGGTTTGAGTTAGGTTTGCTTGGGGACAAGCAAACGATTAAGTGTGGGGGAGTTTGATAGACCGTTAATTTTACATGTTTTTACCTCTGTTCTTACACCGTTTGAGATGTGATTTCTCGTGTTTTAGGCCGATTTCACGCTAGGTTGTGCTTGTTTGTGATATTTCAGGTCCTAGTACGTGAATGGAGGCTTGGGAGTGAGTTTGGGGTCGATTGGATGAAGATCGGGCGCGAGGCAACGCAAAAAGGAAGCCACACGGGCACAACCAGAAGCCACACGGCCGTGCAAGTGACAAACCTGACCGTGTGGGATTATGGAGCCAGAACACGGCCTCTGTGGCCGTGCATTTACCGCCGAGAGCAAACACGGGCAGGATGAAATCTTACACGGCCGTGCGACCCTGGCCGTGTAAGAAGCCTGGAATTCGACTAAGTGATACGGTGCGTTTTGACTCACACGGGCAACTGGGTATGCCACACGGCCGTGTGGCCCTGCCCGTGTGAGTCGGTATTTCCTGGTTTTAAGCCAAATTTCGAACCAAAGAGGGGGAGAGCTGGGTTTTTGGATCCCAAACACCCAAGGGACGAACCAAAGAGAGAGAGGGCGATTCGAGGGCATTCTTGGAGTGGAATTGGAGGATTTCTTCGCCTTGGAAGCTCGAGGAACAAGCCCGGACTTGAAGACTGATCATCTGAAGATTCTTACTGCAGTCTCTCTCTTCTCTGTGGAGTAACTTCCCTTCACTTAGGTTTTGAGGAACCCTAGCTATGTTTGTTTGATTGGATGATTGTATGAGTACTCTGACTTGATAATCTTGAGTTCATATTCAATCTATGCATGTTTTCATGATTCAATTCTGCTTTAGTCGAGATTATTGATTCTGCTTTGATCCTATGAGAGGGAATACCTGATTAGGTCAATAGAGCACCATAGATTGATAGTAGTGGATCGATTGCTTTAGTCGAGGGCTGATTCACTGCTTTGTATCGATTGAGAACCTCTTTCGATAGAGGGAGTCTAGTTCAGAACACCTTGATCAGTTGTTCTAGAGAAGGATACGTCCCTCTAGGCAATTGAATCAAGAGGGCCTTGTTCCTTTAGTCGAGACTCAAGGTCTAGTCATGGATTCTCCGCATTGTGAATGAAAGTGAAACAAGTTGGAAATCATCAATCGTTAGTCTGGCTAGTGGCTAGGGGGAATCATACCTAAGTGAGTTCCCAACCTGTAATTAGATTAACTTTAACTGCAGTTTGCTAAAGTAGTTTTAGTTCTTTCATGTTAATCTGGTTTGCTAAATATTAAACTGAAGCTGAGTAATAGTAACTCTAGAGACCCGTGGATTCGATATTTATCACTTGAGCCACTATACCTGCAGTCCCTTCCATTGGTTACACTTGGCCATTGTTAGGTGTTGTGTCATAGCGAGTCATGTGTCGATGATCGCCATTGCTAATCTTCTCCCCTAAGCCTGCGTACCCACTGCTGAATTCTTTTCCTCCCGTAAATCTTGGAACAAACCCCTACTGTGATTAAAACTCCGTATAAGTAGTTTCCGCAATGATCTCTCCTCTTTCCATAATTAATTGCGTTATTAAAATGGTAGTTAATATTAGGAAGGATGCAAAATACCCATGTTATCCCTAGTAACCACCGTGGCTACTAAGACTAAATATCCATCGTAACCCCTCCCCCGGTCAATGAAAGAAGGTGAATAATCTCTGCATCTCTACTGCCTGGCCAAAAAAACAAAGCTACATAAGAAAATTTTGAAGGGCCTGCTGTAGCCCATAAAATAAATGGCTGTTACTCAAAGCCCAAAAATACAACGAAGCCCATTTTGTTTAGCTGCTGTGTAGGAATTAGTCGGAAGCCCATTAGCTAGCTGGTGTAGGAATTAGTAGGCGGTTAAGGGAATTTAGGAAACAGTAACCCTACTTTAGGTATATATATATTGGGTTAATAGCATTTTGTACCCTTTTACTTTTGCAAATTAACAAACGCACCCCTCTACAATTTTTTTGCACGCGCGTATCCTTCTAGTATTAAAACGTAACGAACATACCCTTCCGTCTAAATTTTTGTTAAATGACCGTCTAATGGGATGTAAAAAGACCCAATTACCCCTCATTAACTCCTAATCTTAATTTTATTATTTTTTATCCCTAACCAAATTAATTAAAAATTATAACCTACAAACTCTTAAGTTTCTCTACGACAGGCAGACATTTGGCCTTCCTTAAGTCGGCCATCAAATCCGACACTGGTAAACGACGGCGGCGAGCAGGAGGGTTTCTACACGATTGACGATTTGGTGAATCTACTGTGCCAACCTCTTCTCCTCCGATTGTGCCTCCGTCCTCCGACAGCCTCTTCTTCTCCGCCTGTCAACTCTGCCCAGCTTCCCAATCAATCAGCATCCTTTCGTCGATAAATCCTCTTTTATTTCCCTCTTTCGTTTTTGTGTAAATATTGTGGGAACCCAAATTTGAAGTCTGACCTCCAACGTAACCACATAGAACCAATATTCATATTTATCTTCTCTCGTATTCGCTTAAAAATAAACATTACAACATCAATTGAGTTCGGTTTAAGGAGACAATAGCTTACACCTCAAGACAATTCCAACACAGTAGAGTGAATGGGTAGCAGGCTAGCGGCCGATCGAGTACAGGGTGGCCGGAGTCATTGGTGCCGGTTTGGCGGAAGCACATAGGGAGATGATCGGGTCACCAACTGCTGTTCGCGGGAGAAGATGATCGCGTCGCCAACTGCTTGGAGAAGAGGGACGCGTCACCAATTGTTGTTCGTCGGAGATCGAGTGACATCGTTGTGCGTTTGTGTGGAGAATAGCCGTGTAGAAACCCTCTTGCCCGCCGAACCTGCTCCCGCCGTCGTCGTTTACCAGTGCCGGATTTGACGACCGACTTGAGCAAGACCAAATGTCTCCATGTCGTAGAGAAACTTGGGAGTTTGACGGTTTGTAGGTTATAACTTGGTTAGGGGTAAAAATAAAATAATTAAATCGAAATTAGGAGTTAATGAGGGGAAATTAGGTCTTTTTACATCTCATTTGACAGTCATTTAACATAAAATTAGATGGAAGGGTATGTTCGTTATGTTTTAATACTAGAAAGGTACGCTCGTGCAAAAAAAAATAGTAGAGGGGTACGTTTGTTAATTTGTAAAACTAGAGGGGTACAAAATGCTATTAACCCATATATATCAACAGTATAATTTATAGCTGAAAAGTAAAACTGCACCCCCCATTCAAAATTTCCTGCCCATAGAGAGATTTTAGGAAGCTGATGTGGCAGAGTGTTAAGCGGGAAAAAAACAAGGAGTCCCGCCTGATTTCAGAACCAAAAAACTCTCCACTACCCACTTTTTTCTCCTTCCAGGCCCACGTTCTCATTTAATTTGTATAAAAAACTCTCCACTACCCACTTTTTTCTCCTTCCAGGCCCACGTTCTCATTTAATTTGTATTAATTTGTATTTTTATTTCCGATTTCCCTTCCTTCCACTCTTTCACCTCATTCGAATAAGTTTCTTGGCCTTCAGAAAACCAAACCTTGACTCAATCATCTGGTTCTTTTATGTGCTTGCATCTACCTTTGATTTCCGTTCTCTAAGCGTTAGATCGGTATTGGTTTTGCCGTAAGTTATTCTTCCTCTTTCAGATTTCTATTTGTTGTTGTCGCTGCTTTTAAGTTTTAGGGATTCGGGTTCTGGGTTTTTTTTTCAGGGATTCGGTTGCAAAGATTCATCTCCCTTACCTTTGGTTCATTCCGTTTTCTTTATTCTCTCTTACCTTCCTCGCTTCATTCTGTTGATTGGATTCTCTAGAGATCAAAAGGGGATTTTTGATTTTTCCCTTTCTCTTGAAAGTAACAAAGCTGCTTACTTTAAATTCCACTTCGCTTAGACTGTCTTCCAGAGAGCAGCCGACTGCCGATTTTGAGCTGAGTTTTTCCGGGCCGTAGAGAAAGAAGAGGAAAGAAAGAGACGTTCGGCGGCGGCAGCCAGGTACTTCGTCTGGGTCGTTTTCCGGGTCAGTAAACCGAAGGGCCGGCTATAAACTAACGCTGGCCTGGCGGGGGAAAAGGAAAGCGTAAACCATAAGGCCTCGGGGATCCATTTCTCTCGCCAGCCCATACTTCAGAGGCCCAGCCTACTTGAGTCCAGAACCAGCCCATCGCCGACGAAATTTGGCGCGCCGTCCCCCACCCGCCACCACGTATGAGACATAATCAATTTACTTTCTGATGTTAACTCTGTTGCAGGTAAATGTCGAAATCCAACTTGATCAGTAAGGTTTTCTCTCATATGTTTCTAGGTTAATTAATCTAATGGGACTGGCTATGATCTGATAATGTACTTTCAGCTCTAATCACTAAAAAAGTATAAACTAGGCGGTATTGATAAGCATGCTCCACTGGTTAGTGTATTGGTTCTACCAGGCTTTTTTCCCGTTATTACATAAGATCATTGGACAGTTTTATCTCACTCCATTAGTTTGTTTTATTGTTCTTCAACTTCATTTGCATTGTATTTGTATTGTGACATTAGAGTTGGAATCCATTTGTGCTAAAAGTACAAAGCGTAAACTGCATAATTGAAAGAAGGGATAAGTTTGGTATAGTTAGAAGAACTAGAATTGGTAAGCACTTATAGTGCTTTTCTTATTGCCAGCTTGCTTCTTTTTCAAACTTCTCTTTGGATATGGTTTTTATGGATGCCTTTGAATTATATTTGTGTTGGCCATTATATTGTTGTCCTTCTCGCTCTTCCTTTGCATCCCCAAGCTTGGAAGCCATTCTGTTATATGTGTTTTGTTCATCAATTTAAATTATGCCTTATATAGTTATATTTTTCTTCGACTGTTATGTTTGTGTGGTGTGTTGTATGTGTCATTAACTCGCACAAACTTATAATTGGTGAGGAGTTCAACTTCTGTTGTAACAATTAATTAATTTATATGAATGGCAACTGCAAAATTTATTGGAACATGTGCATTATTTACCACGACCTCTATTTCAGATTGCATCAGGTTATTGGAGAATCAACAGTATAATTTATAGCTGAAAAGTAAAACTGCACCCCCCATTCAAAATTTTCTGCCATAGAGTGATTTTAGGAAGCTGATGTGGCAGAGTGTTAAGCGGGAAAAAAAAGAGTCCCCGCTTGATTTCAGAACCAAAGAACTGTCCACTACCCACCTTTTCTCCTGCCATGCAACGTTGTCATTTAATTTGTATTTATTTTTTATTTCCCAGGAAGGAAATGGTCCACTGAAGAAGCGTGCAAAACAACAAAACCCAGAGGCAAAGCTCCTTCCTTTTCCCCTTCCATCAGTTCCTTTGTTTTTTTCTACTGTTATTAAGAGAGAGAGAGAGAGAGAGAGAGAGAGAGAGAGAAAGGGAATCGCAATTCCAATCACATTACAGAGAGAGAGGGGGAAAGGTGAAAGGGAGAAGGAAGTCGATTGTGAGGTGCGAGCTCCCGCCTGTGAACTACTCAAATCCACGGCGGCGAGGTTGTGGAAGGGAACTGGATTGCTTCTTCGAGGAGGGCGGCGAATCAGACGGCGGATGAGAAAAATTCTGATTCCGTCCCCGATTAGGGGAAAGTGGTCTACGAGGCGATTCTGGATTGGAACACGGTGGTGGTGTTGGCGAAAGGGTTGAATCTGAAGCCACGGAGGAAAGTCGATCCGGCCGAATTCAGGTGCCATTTCTCGCTGAGCAACAATTTGACCAGAGAGGAGAGCTTCGTCTTCACCACCGAAGCCACCGCTGTGGCTTAGGAAGTGGTCCGCTGCTTGCATCCGGAAAAACAACACCGCGCTTGCCGAAGGAATCCGCGTCACCGTCAGCCGGGTCGAAGACTCCGCCGCCTCCCCTGCCTCGGCCTCCCCTGCAGCTCTGCCATCGGTGGCGAAAGTGTACAACCCGAAATCCCACGGAATGAGAGGGAAAGGGGAAGAGAAGTACGAGCTCTGCGCTTGCACGATGCTGTGGAATCAAGCGTCGGTTTTGAAGGAATGGGTGATGTACCACTCGTGGCTGGGAGTGGAGCGATGGTTTATCTACGACAACAACAGCGACGACGGGCTACAAGACGTCGCCGACGAGCTCAACACGTGGAATCACAATGTCTC